CCGTTACAGTGACCCGCTTGTAACCTACTGTACAGCCGAGCGACATCCAATTACCCACCTTTTTTTTTTTTTTAGTTTGTTTGTCTGTCATCACAAGGGGCAGTAAAAGTACGTTGATTACTTACTGCGGAGTAGTTTCTGGTAGGAAAATGAACGTAGTTGGTAATTTTGGGGGGTAAATATTACATAATTTTCAGTAACTTTTGAAAAACCAAAAATAAATTAAGGGAGATTTCCCCACTCAAAGTCAGTTCGAATTTATATGTTGGTGTACTGTTATAATCCTCATTATTAGTATGTAAAATAATAACATAATTATGTATTTAAATTCACTGGCATTCGATGACTTTGTTAAAAAGCCATATCATAGGAAAGCCTGGGCACAGATCAAAGGTGAAGACTAGAAATAGCTCACTCCTTTAGATTGTACGGACGGCATCGTAACAAGGTGACTCCGCTTAGCATAAATAGGAAAGTCATAGGCAAAGTAGGGGAGTCGGAGTCGAATACTAGAGTATGTACTTTTAGTTCAGAACGGGCGTTTGTTATTATTAATAAAAATACTTTGAGTATACGTACATCTTTATTATACTTCCAATTCGATTTCGAGTGCTGAAGCGACACGTTAAAACAGTACCTAACTAAAAAAAAAATTAACCGTAGATGCATGACATTTTCATCGAATGTTAATATTTATATTTTCTATACACCTTACAACATTATCGAAATATTTTGACTCTTATTGATCTATCTATGGGTTGGTTAAGTAAATTTCGAATTTTATTATTCGTTTTTTATTTTAATCTCAAAACCTATAAATAACATGTAACCATAATACTACGACCGGCGTATAACGTGACGTTCAAAATGTACGACTGCACAAAAAGTATTGTTGAAATATGCACCTGGTATTATTTTACTGGTGACGTATAAATTGGCAGCCCTGAACTGGGCTCGTGAAAAATTGTTGTTGTCGAATAATTAAATGGAATATAATTTCAAAATGCACGAAATCATGCGTAAGCTGCTAAACTTAGTCGCCGAAAGCCGATTCGACCATATTTTTCGGCATAATTAATACGAAAATGGTCAAATAAAAAAAAAAAATCAACACGAAAAAAAATGCTGTCCGGTTTTGTTAGAATTTTTCTAAAATTTCGGTCCCCGTGATGTTTCTTGCAAAACATATAACATTATATCCTATAAATATAATGGATATTAATATTATTTATAGTCGTTGTGCTGTTTATTACCTTCGATAAGAAGAAATATGGTACGAATATTCTAAAAATAACTTATCAGGGGAAACCCTACAGAAATATCGATACGGACAATAATAACTCGACGTAATCAACATGTTATTAGTAGATAAATGGTTTATGGTTATAAATAATACTGCATTTGGGAATTCCTTAATAATTGTCACCGACGTTTTGTTTTAACTGATTACAATCAAACTGCAACTGCGTACATTTTTATCCTGTCCACAGCCTGGAATGAAGTGAAAGAAGTGCAGTCATTATGTTGAATTATAATTGGTGGTCCTGAAAAGGACCGTTTTAAGGAGGGAAGATGATAGTATTTTATTACCACCTACTTCTTTTTGGGAGTGGCGGTTTTCTTGATCGGGGTTTTCTTCGATTTGGGTTTGACAGCGGTCGGCTTTTTCGCCTTGGCTGCGGCCTTCTTCGGTGTAGTCGCCTTGGGTTTGGTTGCAGCTGCCTTTTTCGCTTTTTTGGCTGCTGGTTCGCCCGCCGCGGGTTTCTTGGCGGCTACGAGCTTCTTCTTCTTCGGGGTACCGGCGGCTTTGACTTTTTTGACGATTGATTTCTTCTTTTTGGCTACAACGGCCTTTTTCGGCTTGACCTCGACGACGGGCAACTTGAAGTGTCCCGAAGCACCGGTTCCCTTGGTCTGGACGACGGTACCGTTGGCGACGGCGGCTTTCAAAAACTTCCTGATGAAAGGCGCCAACTTGGCGGGATCGACTTTGTAGTTGGCAGCCAAGTATTTCTTGATGGCTGGTAACGACGAACCTTTCTTCTCCTTGAGCTCCTTGATAGCCGAGGTGACCATCACGGCGGTGGTCGGGTGCAACGCAACGGTCTTCTTGACTTTAGAAGCCGACAACTTCTTCTTGGCAGGAGACTTCTTCGCGGCCGGCGATGCGGCGACTGGAGCCGGAGTTGTAGCAACGGTGTCCGTCATGTTGATGATGAAATTGTTCAAGTATGTATTTAAAACGATGGATAATTCCACTGTTCACTGCGGTGATACCAAATGGGTTAAAAAATGTGTAAATATATATAGTGCACCGTGCCAACTAGTAAACCAGTGTGATTCGCGTCGTCCTCCGGGCTACGGTTGTACAATCATTTTCTCAATATCTCACGGGAAAGGGCGGTAAAAATCTGGTTTTGAACTTTTTGAAAGCTAACTAAATTCTAAACGATCGCCAATGATTATTCCATCGCCACCCAGCATCCACAAAACACCATAATTCGTTATTTCCACACTTTCAACCAAGTTTTCGTAAACCGTATTTGAAGTTCTGTCGTATGACTGAAACCAGTGGAAATTTACAAAAATATTTTGGATAATTCTCCACGAGTTTCCCGAGACCATAACGTTTGCAGATTTCCAATCGATCGATTTCCGATGAAGGTGGCGTTCGATATGAAGGTTTTTAGGACTCTGCTACGGCATGGTGTCACCGGCGTTTCTACCTACAATTTTAACGAGGCAGACTTTATAAATAAATCTCGTCTTAATCGTACTTTAGCTAATAATTTTGTATAAATAACTTATAATACCGCATTGTTAAAGGATTTTAGTTGAAACTCAATTGCAAATGATATGTTCATTTGTATGCACTTTGTGTCAATCGTAATATCAAATGGACCTGATTAGACTTCGGAAAACTGATTTGAATCATTAATAGGTAGGTCTACTTGGGATCTATCGGGTCACATTTTTCCAATGTATAAACTCCTATAAACTGTGTTTAAATATTTTACATAATCTTAAATGTTGATAATTTGAAATTTAAATATAATAATATTAAAATATTGCCTGATCGAACTGAATAGACAAGTAGTCATATTAACAGCTTCAAATAAGTTGCACAAGTCTCATCGCGTTGTTATCTGAATTGAACGAAAAGTAAATACAAATGGAAATTACAATATAAATTGTTTACAGTTCACCTGCGCGACGTCGTGCCGGTGACCTGTACGTACGCGCATTTGTTGTATCCGTCTTAAAAGTGTGCAACATAACTTATAATAAAACCATCGGTTATATTTAAAAAAAATCCCAAATGAAATATTATTTAAAACCATCAATGATTTACCTTATAATAATATTTAATTACGTCGAGATATTATTATTATTCCCTGTTTGGGTATTTCTACAGAAACAGATTTTCTGAAATGTAGTTCTTACAGCATTAATTTACATTTTCTACGTTTTGTGACACCTTTTTTTCCAGTATTCTCGATATGCTTCGAGGTTTTTCATTGATGAGTTATTTTTAGAATGTTTTTACCAAATGTCTTGTTATCGACGGTAAATACCCGCACAACGGCTATTAATAGTGTATTCAATGCCATCGTGTTTATAGTATACTATATTTTATACATCGTCGTCATGTTCTATCATAGGAACCGGTATTTCTCACACCTTTTTTTGCGTTATTTTCTTTCTCGTGTATTAACTATACTGGAAATCTTTTCCAAGATGGTCGGATCAACATTCGTCGACTCTCAGCTTCTGTTTAGGAGCCAACGCAGTGTTTCCTATTTTTTGAAACAACATTAAATTTCATTGTTCTATAACAACAACTTTTCAGGGTCACCAATTTATATTTCACCCGTAAAATATTGCCACAAATTATTACATTTTTGTGAAAAAGTAAATGTTGAACGTCTCGTACCAGTCGTGATTATTGCCAACGTCACTAACTGTCGTTCTCCGGTTATACTGCAGTTTATAAGTAGAATTATCTGATTAGTCACACCTTACCCACCATCAAAAGTATAACACCGTCAGAGTAAAAATGGAAACTAGTAACCTTAATTGTGTTTGATATTTAACACTAAATATTATAATATAATCGTTATAACGTATAATGAAGTTCTAAAAATAAATCATTAAACAAAAATCTCATAAAAAGTTTATTTTAATGATAGGTTCACGAAACGAATGACATAGTGAAATAGTAAATCACCACTGACATTCACGGAAATAATCCATTGATCAAGAAACCAGACAGCAGTTCGATAACATCGTTATAATAATAGCTTTAGAACTCGATTAAAAAAAAATGAATATTATAATATCAACATTATCCTAGGCTGGAGAGAGTAATGCTTAACTTTAAATATTTCCCGTAGTTATTTTTGTAATATTGAATTTGAAATCCCGCAATAATATTATAACGAGATTATGTTATTTTTGGAATATTATTCGTACGTTTTGACTTGCAGTATTTCAATTATAATTGCTGAAAAACGTTTATCTAAAATAATATTTAATTCTGAGTGTTCTGTGTTAATTTCAAGTTATTTAATTTAAAAACGATTCAAGTACAACCATATTAAAATGATTACTGCACATTGAGCTTTAGAATAATATAAATATAATTATATTTGGAACGTCTATTACTACTCGGTTTGCAGTATTTATGATTTAATGTTATGACAGGTGAGGCCAAAGATAGAGCTTCATAATATCATCGTTCAACGGGGACATGATGGTTAAATATTCTGCGTGTTTTCATTTCGTGGTGAACAAACTGAGTGTTGTTTTCTTGAACAAAAAGTCAATATTATCGTTGTCACCAGCGAATAGTTTGCAACGGACTAGTTCCGTGTTGGTTAGGAATTCGAAGTGGGCTCCTCCTTTTACTTCGGGGGTTATAAACAACGTTAATTATTGTAATATGGTGGCCCTGAAAAGGGCCTTTTTAGGATTATTTTAAAAACTTCAGAAGTATGTCTTTAACCTCCGAAACCGTACAGAGTACGGCCTTGACGTTTGAGAGCGTACACGACGTCCATGGCGGTGACGGTCTTCCTCTTGGCGTGCTCGGTGTATGTGACTGCGTCACGGATCACGTTTTCTAAGAAAACCTTCAGAACTCCACGGGTCTCTTCGTAGATCAAACCGGAAATACGTTTGACACCGCCTCG